ACAGATAAAATCCCAGCTCACACGAGCACCAGCAGCAGATTTATCTGCTCCTTTCCAAAAGTACCTTGAGCAAATTTGTTATACTTTTTTAAGAATATAAGCTGGAAGAACAAGTTGTATGCACCAGTAGTTGCTGATGTTGAATAAGACTGATATAATGAGCTCTAATCTCCCTGCTTAACTGAGATTTCTCCCAGTCCAGTGATGAATCTTGAGCTTGATGTTTTCAATTAAAGGTTGACAATCCTTTTCGGTAAGTTTGCGAGTGACAAGAGGAATACCAAGATAACGAACAGGAAGTCTTCCGATAAGAAACCCAGTAATCTGTTTTAATTTCTCAATGGTTCTTGACGTAATCCCCACAGCAAAAATCTCACATTTGGAAGGATTCAATTTAAGCCCAAAGATTACATAGAAGTGATCAAGAATAGTGAGAACACCAACAACAGATTTTGTTTTACCTTTGCAAAAGATCATTAAATCATCGGCAAACGATAGATGAGTAAGTCCAATTTTCCTGCATTTAGGATGGTAACCAAATATTCCTCGATTGGCAGCTAAATTAAGCATTCGAGATAAAATATTCATTGTAAGAACAAAAAGATAAGGGGATAGAGGGTCTCCCTGCCTTAGGCCTCTTGCACCTTTAAAGTAGTCAATTAAGGTCCCATTAAAAGAAATTGTGAACCTTGCTCCTCTAAAGCAAGCTTCGATCCATGCAATGAATGCATGAGGTAGCTGGAGGGCTTTAAGAATTTGTGAGATGAATGCCCAATGAATTGAATCGAAAGCTTTATGAAGATCAATTTTCAAAGCACATCTCGGGGAGATATACTTTCTTCCATATCCTTTTACCATCTCCTGAGCAAGATGGGTATTATTAATGATGCTCTTTCCTCTGATGAATGTCGATTGATTCGAAATAATAATCTCTGGGAGGAAATCAGTCAGTCTTCTAACAATGATTTTAGTAATGATCTTGTATACAACATAACAACATGAGATCGGTCGGTAATCTTTAACAGCACTCGGATTTGGTTTTTTACGAACAAGAGCAATAATAGTAGAATTGAAAGTATGATGAATTATAGCATTACGAAAGAAGAATTTGACTACAGCAACTACTTCCTCTCCCACTATATTCCATGTGTTCTTGAAAAAGTAAGGAGTGAAACCGTCGGGACCTAGAGCTTTGTTGTTGCCTTGGCAAAAAACAGCTTTTTGAATTTCTTCTCTGGTAATTTCTTTAACAAGGCTAGTTGAATCTTCAGAAGTCAGTGAGAAGTTGAGTAATTCTTTTAGGAGGTTAGGATCAATTTCTTTCACCATGTTGTCAGCTGTTCCAATCAGATTAGAAAAGAAAGAGATAATTTCTTTCGACATTGCTTCAAAGGACTCCAATCGATTGCCTTGTTCATCAATAAGAATACGGATTGTATCTCTTTTATTTTTAAAAATAATCATCGAGTGGAATATTTTGGAGTTTTTATCTCCATCTTTAATCTACTGGACTTTTGCCTTTTGCTTGAGAAATGAAGCTTCCGCATCTTCTAAGGTTTTCAACTCTTCTAATAATAGTAGTTCCTTATCGATTGTTTCCTCTCCCTTTAAAGTGAGGATTTGATGCTATTCCAACTCGCTTCTTTTCATTTTTACTCATACCGAGAGATTGCTGTAATTATCCTTGTTAAATCTCGTAAGGCAAGATTTGAGCCTTTTGAGTTTAGTAAGGAGAATTTGTATAGGATTTCCATAAGCAGTTTGTAGCCAGGATTGCCTTACTTCATTCAAGAAGCAAGGATTAGCAGTCCAAAAATTGAAGAATTTAAATGGCTTTGGTCTATTAGCTGGAACTTCTTTGGAAATCCAAGTAAGAGACATGCAGTGGTCCGAGGGTCCTGAAGCAATAAACTCAACAAAAGAGTTCTGAAATATCGAAGCCCAATTAGAGTTTATCATGACCCTGTCGAGTTTTCTTGCAAGGAAAAATTATTTTTGCTTGTTACTCCAAGTGTAAGAATGACCAAAGTAAGGATGGTCGTGGAGTTCGAGCTCATTAGATAGGTCCTGGAAATCTTTCATATCAGAAGTGAGATAATGACCAATTAAATCATGGTCGGAGCTTTCATGGGAGTGCATGATGATATTAAAGTCCCCTCCTAGAATCCAATGAGACTTATTAACAGTAGAATCAACTTGTCGTAAGCTATGCCAGAGCTGTCTTCGAGCAGTCCCATCATTACTACCGTAAATTACCGAGATAAATAAATGGGAACCAAGGTAAGATCCTCTAATAATAATAAATTGATCGATAATTTGAATGATAGACAGATGAATACCCTTCCTCCAAAGAACCCAAATTCTACCATTATAAGCAAAATCATAGTTAGAACAATAATTCTAGTTCTGGAATTTATAAGTGAAAATAACTCTGCTTTGTCCACCTTAACACTAGTCTCAAGAAGGCAAAGGATGTCAACATTATTCTGAGTGGCTCGATGTACCACTTTATTCTGCTTTAGAGGACTTAACAGTCCTCTAATATTCCAGAAGCTAACTATCATTGAGTAGGTGATCCCAAAGGATCCCCTTGACCTCCTGCTTTAAGACCTTTAGCTTTATCAACTTGTTCCTTCTTTTTTTATTTAAGTTCTTTCACTAGGTTAGCAACTCCCAATGAAGGAACTCTCGGTTTTCTTTGCAAGCTTTCTGAACAATTTGGAATATCTTCTGCAGAATTAAGGATATCGAACCTGTTGGTTGACCCTGTAAATTGAGCTTTAGCTTTTTCAGTTTTGCCTCGACTCCTTTTAAGCACAGTGGGTTGAGCTTTATCAATTACATCAATAGCAGCAGGCTGTTTGATTATTGCAGCAACAATAACTTGGGGGCGAGACAACATCTTTATCATCGTTTTCTTTATTAGCAGCTTCATTAGGAGAATTAAGGTTCTCTTTTATAGCTGGAGCAGTAAAGTTGCATTGAACCTCAACCTCCTTAATCAGTGCAATAGTATCACTTCCAGCAGCAGCAGATTCATTAGAAGAAATAATATTCTCTAATATAACTGGAACATTAGTGTCGCATTGAGGAACAACCACCTTACTCAGTGCATTAGCATCACTTCCAGCAGCATTAACTTTCCTAAATGCAGTAGATGAGTCTGTGGTATTATGATTATTTGCTTCAGAGATAAAAGTGTCGTGATTCTCTATTTTTCCAGGTTCTTGTAAAGCTTCTATTCCTCCAACATGAATGACTGCAGAATTGGGAATGATTTCTCCTTTCTTCTTCCAAATTTGTGAAACAGTAGGATTTGTGTTTGCTTTATGCAAACATCCTTTTTCATTATGGCCGAAAACATTACATTACTTACAAGATTGGGGTATCCAAGGAACCTCTATACTGATCGAGGTTGTTTGCCCATCTTTCAGAACTACCTCAATGTGTTTAGGAATTGAGTCTTTAATACCTATTTCTACACAGACTTTTGCAAACTCAAGCCTTGTTTTTGCAGCAGTAATCGAGTCCATAGAGATTGGAACTCCAATGGCACTTTCTATATAACTTAAGCCCGATCTAGAGAACAGTTCAAGGGGAACGTTGTACAATTGAACCCAGACAGGGATTTTAGACAAGTTTAAGCTAAGGGTTTTCAGGTTTGGTTCCCATTTCCTAAGAATTAAGGGCTTATTATGCACATGCCAAGGACCATGTTCAAGTACACAGTCTTTAATAGATTCATTACTAAAAGAGAAAATGAAGATGTTATTTCCGGTAAGACTGACCTGGATTCGAGATCCCAGCTGTGCTTTACTCCATAGTTTTTCAACAGTCCGATGAAGAGAAGTGAAGCTTGGAGCAACCCCATGAATTGGCCCACTAGAGAAGATTTCCACTCGGAAATTCCTTCATCGAGGATCTCTGATGGAGGGAAGATAGTCGGGGTTCCATCGCGAAGTTAGGGAGGAAGTCTAGGTTTTGATCTGCCAAGCCTCCGAACAAATTACGCCAATCCATCTATCAAGCAAGAGCCGCAAAGAACCACATGAACCATAATGAGCGGCAAGAACCACAACGAACGAGAAGGTAAGAGGTAGAGATGATCTAGGAGGAGAATCAAAAATGAACGTCGGTAGATCAACGGAGTACTGAGGTTCCATTAGACCTGCTAATGTGCACCGAGAGAGTTCCGTTATCGTGCACCATATAACCTTTTTATATAATAATAACGTTTAAATAAAAACAACTAAAAATTATACTTAAAAATTAGATTCATGACTAATAAATTTCTATATAATCCTTTGATTATTCAATCTATAATCATATGTAATAAACATTGAATTATGTTTGACCTTAACTTTTTATAAATATAAATGAATCTAGACAAAATTTAAGGTTCATATTTAAAATCAGTCTAAACTTACATAAACATAGATTGTATTAATACATAAATTTAACTCAAACTCGACTTGATCCTTTTGACATCTAATATATATTTAAAAATTGTTTTTTATTTTTTATCCCTATTTTTATTTTCGTTTTCTTCCAGTTCATGGTTAAATTGGGAAATACTTGTGTCAGTTTATATTAACATTAATATATTTTTACAAGTAAAATAATTAAAATATATTTTTTTATTATTAAATTTGAGCTCAATCAAAGCAATCCAGAAATTTTAAATCCTTTGTTGATTGCGTATATTGCCCAAATGCTGGAACACTTCAATGCTTGAGGCTTTGGGTCATAGCCTAAATTACATAAGCCTTGTGTCAGTTAGGCCGTGTCCAACAATCGATAAGGTTGAATGATTTGACAAAAAAAACAAATTTAAATATTTAATTAAAAATAAATAAATATCTAATTAGATAAAAAATAATTTAAGGGTCAATTAAAATTTAAAATCAAATTTAAATATTAAAATATCTATTTACATATTATTTTTCTGTGTTATTTATTTAGGACAAAAAGAGCTGAGGTGCGAAGAATATGCAACAAGCAAAATGGCGCAAAAGCAAAATGAAACCCGACAAAAGTGAAAATGAGACGGGCACGCGTCCATTCCACGTGTCTTGTCTCCATCCACCACTCATCAGTTGCTGGCCACGCGCCTCCCTGTGTACCCTTCTCTCCCGCCACTCTCTCTCTATCCCCTAAAACACATTTCCACTAAAAGCTTTTTTTCCTCCCCATTCGTACTGTTAAATCCACGCGTTTCTATTATTCAAAGGTTACTCCACCATCTTTGTCTTCTCAGTTCTGTCTTGTCTAACACTTGATCTTGAACTGGGCTTTGATGGGTCTTTGGTTTCGGTTTTGGTTATTTCGTTTGATTCATCGAGATGAATGATTTCATGATTTTAAAGTTACCCTTTCATTATCTGAATCTTATTTACTAGCTTGATCCAAAATTTCAGCATTTTAGATGGAATCTCTGTTTGTTGTTGTGATAATCAAGGAAACCCTTTTTCTGATTTATTGATTTTGAAACTGTTAATTTCTTGGTGTTTTGTAGGTAAATCTTTGGTGGTTTTCGAACTAATTGATAAAACATGGGTTCTGAGACTCCAGCAACATTGGTTGAGCAGACAAATGCAGCAGTGAAGACATCTGTTGGGAGGTTTGTGTTTGAATCATCTTAGGAACCAACCTTGGTTACCTCTCTGTTCTGTAATTTCCTGGTTTGTGTCTGAATTCATTTTCATGGGTTATGTTGCTCTCAAGTATCGGCACCTGTGTATTGGTATATGGCCTCCAATGATGTCTAGATACATAGGAAAAATTAAGAAATCTGATCATACCTGTGCTGGATACGTAACTCACCCGATTCGGTGAGTTACAGTAACATAGTTGTGACAAAGCCTTAACTCTTTGTAGTTTTTGGTTTCAAAGATTTTCGAGCCTTTTGGATAGCTAATGTTTAGTAATTGTTCTGCATAACAACATATAGGCTATGTTGCTCTGATTCTTCGTTTTCCGAAGAATCTGTGTCTGATACCGGAAATCTCATCCACCATGGATATAGGGATATGGATTTAACTGCTGTTGTAGTATACATACACTCATAATCCGAATCCTGGTGACATAATTACTAGGAATGGGATTTTAGCTAACATGTGCATTTAAGCATATTCAGAAGTGCCAACGAAAATATGCGGCGAGTATGGCTTGTCTGAAAACTGTTTTTTTATGCAGATCTTGTGCTCCGAAGACCAAGGGAAAGGTTCCTAAAAGAATTCACAAGGCAGAGAGGGAGAAGCTCAAGCGTGAGCATTTGAACGAACTCTTCCTCGACTTGGCGAATGCTCTCGGTAATGTCCTAAGTCCATCTTATCAATCTTTAAGATTTACTAGAACTTTGTTTCGATGGTATCGTAGAAATGATTCTCGGGTATGATCTAAATAGGTTTCTGTTTGTAAAATTGGTTCTTTTTTGTGTTCAGAGATTATGGTATATCTAACTTCGGGGAATTTCTTTGCTCAGATCCAAATCAACCGAATAATGGGAAGGCCTCTATTTTGTGTGAAGCAACTCGACTGTTAAAGGACTTATTCTGCCAAATCGAGTCCCTCAAAAAGGAAAATTCTTCTTTGTTATCTGAATCTCACTATGTACGACTCCTGATCTTGTCTTTGATAATTTTGCTTAATCACTATCGGGAGTGAATGCTGGATATCCTTACATCCATGTTCTTGAATATATGTCGGACAGGTTAACATTGAGAAGAATGAGCTGAAGGAGGAGAATTTCACCCTAGAAACTCAAATCCGGGAGCTGCAAAGTGATATAGGGACAAAGATGGCTCAATCTAAACCCAACCTGAAAGAGCCTCGCCCCGACTTTCAGCAAACCCAATTACCTTCACACTTTCATGGAGATCAGCCCGGTTTGCCCGCTGTCAAACCTGCCCCGCAACAACCATCGGCTCTCCTCGTTGTTCCCTTACATCCTGACATCCGGAGATATCCTATGCTTGATCCAGAGACACAACCTGCCGCTAAACCAAACTCCATTGTCAGGAAACCACATGCTCGATATCCAACCCCTGCGGATACATGGCCTTCTAAACTTCTTGGGGAGCAATCAGACATTAGGAATGAGTGACAACTTTGATGATAGAAAACTCAAGCCAAGCTTGTACATTTCTTCTTATGGGTGTAATGGATGATGAGTTAATAGCATGTTTTGTATGTGCTTTGGATGAATTCAATTTAATTTTAACTTCAATGAAGGTGCCATCACAATTAACTATGAATTTACAATAAAAAATTAATTTATGTTTTTTTATAAAGTCAAACAAAAACACTTCACAATCAAAATAAATTCATTGAGATTTGGATATGAATACTCCCACGAGGAAAAATGGGCTTTTTGAACTCTTTGCTTTTTTTTATTTGGGCCTAAAGAGAAAATAAACCAATTTGAGTAAAATCCCTTTGTTTAGCAACATCACTTGTTTCACTTAGGGTTGCCTTATAAGATATTTCTACACTTACGTTGTCAGATGCAATTAGCAGTGCCACAGCGTTAAATAGAAACGGCGCCTCCGCCTAAAAACCATGGTTCACGTCTCGTTTTACCGCAATTGTAAGCTCTTTCTTCTTCTTTATTTAACAAAATTTTGTTACTTTGATCTGCTTTGGGTATTTTCCATAGATCATTATCTTGTCGTTTTCCCCACCACTATTTTTAGGCTAATTCTTTGTTGGGTTTTCTTGTTTTGGAAGAAGAGGAATTGGGTTCCTTTTTGTATGTGATTTTAGTTACATTTGCATAGTTAATGGAGGGTTGAGCGGAGGAGAGGATATGTGGTTTCTTGGGTCGTCATTGCTCTGATAAAATTGGGTGCTTTGAGCTGAACTGCTTGTGTTCGATTTGTTAAATGATTTTTTGGATTATTATTTCGTTTCTCTTTGCGATTCCATGAATGGTAACAAATGGGAAGACATTTAAGAAGCCTCGTCGTCCTTACGAAAAGGAACGATTGGATGCCGAGCTGAGGCTGGTGGGAGAGTACGGGCTGCGATGCAAGAGGGAGCTTTGGAGAGTTCAGTATGCTTTGAGCCGTATCAGAAATGCTGCTAGAGATCTCCTGACCCTTGACGAGAAGAACCCGCGTCGGATCTTCGAGGGCGAGGCCCTTCTTCGCAGGATGAACCGATATGGACTCCTCGATGAGAGCCAGAACAAGTTTGATTATGTCTTGGCATTGACTGTCGAGAACTTCCTTGAACGTCGCCTTCAGACTCTTGTGTTCAAGTCTGGTATGGCCAAATCCATCCACCATGCCCGAGTGCTCATCAGGCAAAGGCATATCAGGTGGGCATATCAAACTTTTTTCGTTGACAGCTTCATAGGATTATATCGATTTGGAGTTTTCTCCGGCATGCTTCTGATTGATACTATTTCGATCCAATTCTATTTCTGTTCGTATCTATCATTTGCTGATTGATACTCTGCTCGATTTCCTCTGATCTTACAGGTTCGGACGGCAGGTAGTCAACATTCCTTCATTTATGGTGAGGGTTGATTCGCAAAAGCACCTTGATTTCTCTCTCACTAGTCCATTTGGCGGCGGACGTCCTGGGAGAGTGAAGAGAAGGAACCAGAGGGCTGCTGCCAAGAAGGCTGCCGGCGGAGATGGAGACGAAGAAGATGAAGAATAAGTTATGGGGTTTTTGTTCTTTCGTGGCTGGTCACTGTAGGACTCTATTCTCATTCTAAGCTAGTTTTCCATGATCTAGAAAGTAATGTCTGTTTTTCCCCCTTTCTGGATTAATAATATTTTTAGGCATTATTAATTTGTTTATTTTCCCACATAAATATGAGTTTAGAAGTATCCCGCATTATGATACTAATCTAAATGATAGAATTACATCAAAGAAATATTTTTTCTCCAACTGGTGTGGTGGCCTATGATTCCACTGTGTTTGCTAGTTTAGCATTTTAGGTTTCTAAATTGGACAGATTTAGATTTTAAATAATTGAGTGATACTAATCTAAGTGCTACAATTACATTGAATGATACTTAATTGAAATGAATAGTAATTAAATTATAAAATATGTAAATGTTGGATTGAACTCTGAAAAAGTTTGTTTTAAAGTAATACAAAGAAATATTCATTTATCATAAACCGTATCAATAACGTCTTGTCAATTGTAGATTGAACAAATACAGTCGGAATTATCATAAAATCTTATAATGATCGCCTAATGATAGTTTGATAAGCAAAAGTATGAACAAATAAAGCAACGATGTATATAGACTGATCACACCAACGGCTCCGAGCACCAACCATAGAGAATAAAACTTGAAGAATATTCAAAACGACAAACAGCGAAGGTGATCTCCCCATAAAGACAATCTCATCCATGGAAGCATGTTGAAATATAGACCAAGTAGAAAAACCAATAAATAAACATGCACAGGAATCTACAAACACCGATAACTATGATACCCTTTACTAAAAAAATATAATCAAGAGAAAACATTAATATTAAACTATGATAAAACTAAAATTTAGGCCCGTAAATGAACTGAACGTTCAGCGAATCGTTCATGAATCGTGTGGCGAGAAGTTCGTTTATGTGCGTTTATTTATTAAAAGAACGAACATGAACAAGATTTTGTGTTCGTTTAATTAAATGAACGAACATGAACATAAGTCTCGTTCGTTCATTTACGTTCGTGAACGTTCGGTTATGTTCATTCGGTTATGTTTATTTATGTTTAACTCAATCTTCTTAAATCAATTTTGGTGACCAATTTGTAAGTATCTTAAAAATATTAATTAATCTGATATTCTGATGACCTACTACATAATTAACCCAATTTTATTTGGAGATTAAATTCAATATGTTAACCCTTGACGCACCTCGCACCTATATTCATTTTCTCATTTTTTTTTCCCAAACCCTAGTGTTCACTGGAGAGTGAAGACGATCGCTGAAAGCTTCAAAACAAGTTATATTAAAGTGCAATATGAAGTTTTACAGGTCTGTTTTCATCTCTTTCTCTATTTTATTTGGCTTAATAGTTTATATGTAAAGTTATTGCGGGTATCTTCACATCTAAAACTCAAGAAAACATCATACTTCTTTCTAGAAATAGATAGGAAGATAAATGTAACAATCAAAAGTATATAAGCATTAGTAAATAGAAAAATATATAGAATTTGCCTGAAAACAAAACAAAGGTTTCTATACAATTTCTGAAAAAGAGTGTAATAGCGGAAGTAATGGGTTTTCCAAGAAGAACTCATTAATAAATAGAAAATACACTTTGACATTGAACTTTTGTTTTCATAGTTCTTGTATGACTTTTAGTTGTAGAGTAGACTTTAGGTACGCTAAAATTTTGAATGGTGGTTTAGCAATAATATCAGTTACGATATGTAGCATAGAAGGGATTTCGGATCTATGTTATTGTCTTGTAGTCCAATTTGTACCGTTCGAAATCTTCATGCTGTTACATTTTCTACTCTACCAACGGAAAGAGCCATTATTAACAAACATCACTAAAGTCTAACATTGATGTCACAAAACTTTTAGCCGGCGAATTTATTAGAATAACGTAGTGAAAAATGATTGTTCATATGTAATTATGGACCACTAAGATAAATGTTATAGCATTAAATTAAAGTCGTGTAAATCATTTAATATCTTTAAAAGATCGATCGAAATATTTGATATCTTCAAACATTTCATCACTGCTAATCAACTCTTACGCTATTTATCACTGTAGATTTGGTTGATTTGCATTGTCGACTATTTTTCATGAAAGAACAATGGAAGGTAGAGTCTCCAACGTTTATGTTCGTGTTCGTTTATGTTCGTTTATTTATTAAATGAACGAACATGAACAAGTTATATTCCTTAATAAACGAACATGAACAAAAAAAATTTGTTCGTTTATGTTCGTGTTCGTTTATTTATTAAATGAATGAACATGAACATACTTCCGTTCGTGTTCGTTCGATTCGTTTACATTACTACTAAAATTGAAAACTAGTAAAAATAAAATGAAATAATGAAAAATGGGAACAAAAGGGCGGGAAAGATCCCGTCGATTTGCTTGTAATTCCTAGACTGTCGCAGAGTGCTGCAGATAAAAAGTTGGATGATTGGTGATGGGAACAAAATTTTATATTTTATCTTAATATTAGTGTGAGATTAAGTATATGATAATTATTCGTAAGCTAATTGAGAGATTAAATAAACTTAATTAATATAATTGATTATTGATTGATTTTAGTTCTATAGATCATAAGAGACCTCATTATTGAAACCTTTATCATTGCCTAACACCGAAAAACCACTCATATGACTAGGGAGCATGGAACCGAGGCCGACGGGCTCAAAACCGATCCGACCCGATCGAGTCGGATTTTTTTAAAAAAAATCAGTTCGGATCGGATTTTATATTAAAAAAATTGAATTTGAGTCGGAGTCGGGTTTAGGGTTAAAATAATCCTACCGACCAGATCCAAACAGTAACCCAATTATTATTTTTTTCAAAGTGGAGCGAAATATGATGAAAAAGCATGCAAGAAGCAATCAAAAGGAAAGTGTTAAAACATGTTTCATCTCCTGAAACCTAAAGTTTTGTAGAGTTCGGGTTCGGGCTCTTTAATTACGGGATCTTGTTTTAGTCAGTTGTTAAATTGTCATTCAATGTTCTAAAAGTGGACATCCCTTCTCCTTTTATACATTTAATTATTACAATCAATATCTTAGTGCAAACTTTTTTTTTACTTTCCCTGCTTACAGCTTTACTTTACTCCCAAACAATTATAGTGTTTTTTTTCTTCTTTACTTTACTTTCCATTAAAGTGTCTGAATTCAAAAAAAAAAAAAAACGTAAAAAAACAGCATCACTGCTAAAAACGGTTGAAGAGTTGCCAGTATTGATCATTGCTGGTGCTGAAGATTCCTATATTTCTCTCAAATGTTCCCAGGGCATGGCTTCAGAATTTGCTAATTCGAGGAGTATTCTGCTTCAATTTGTATCATCTGTTTCAAAACTCGAGAAATTTTTATTTCTTCAGTAAGTTTTATTGTTTTCTTTGAAAGCAAAATAGTGTTTTCTTCATTAAGTTATTTTCAATCTTTAAAAGCAAAAATTGAAGTTTGTAGTGTTGGTTAGATAGAGTCTGGTCGAATTTTTAGTAAATAAAAAAAATCGGGTATAGTCGGGTCGGGTCGAGTCTGATTTTTAAATTATGTATCGAATTGAGTTCGGATCAAGTGAAATTTTATTTTAATCGAGTCGGGTCGAGTATTGGGTGGAGGACCCCTTATTCTTGAGTCATATCGTATAGATCAAAAACCCGACTCAACCTAACCCATGTAAATCCCTACGTATGAATGAACTTAGATAAAGATTAAATAAACTAGTGGCGGATCTTTATTTTTAGAAAACCTTTTCCTTAACACAGTGAATGTGTAAAAGAACCCACAGCTGCTGCCTGCTGGACGTTTGAAAAGTAAACGAAACATTAGAAAGCAGATGTTCCGATCCACCGACTTCAAAAAGAAGCAACTCAAACAATGGCTTCCGTTAACCACTTCAAAGGCTATGACAAAATCAGTCAAAGCCACCCTAAAACCTCGCCACGGCGTTCCTCAACCACCATAATCGTCTCTGCTCTTCTCATCTTTACTTTGCTCACCGTCTTAACCCTTTTTGTTTCGATGTTGGAAGAACCCATTAAAGACAACAAACACCCCGCCGACTCAGTTGACTCGATCAAGACCATCTGCAACGTGACCCGGTACCCCGAGTCTTGTTTCGCCGCTCTATCTTCTCTCAACGCCTCCAAAAACCCCGACCCAGAAGCCTTCCTCGATCTCTCTCTCCGACTGGCCATCACCCACCTCTCGAATCTCTCTTCCTCGTTCAGGTCCCTCAACGATCTCCACTCTCAGCCTGCTTTAAAAGACTGCTTGACCCTGTTCGATGAAGCCCTGACTCGACTCCATGACTCAGTGTCTGCAACGAAGGCTCAATTTACCAAGGAGAAGATCAGTGATATCCAGACCTGGATAAGTGCTGCAATGACTGATCAGGACACGTGTAATTATGGACTGGAAGAGATGGGATGGACGGCTGGTGAGGAAATCAAATCCCAATCTCGAACCTTTAAAGAGTCTCTTAGTAATAGTTTGGCTATTGTTGCTAATTTGCAAAAACTTGTACAAAAATTTGGTCTCACCATGCACTGAAATTGCTAAATATGTAATTTTTCTTTTACAGTTGAAAAGATTTCAATGCAAATCTTATCTTCCTGCAAGTGCTCTACTGATTGAAATACATATAAAAGAAGTTTATAGCTCTTTTGTATTGATTACAATGATACTAAACAAGATGAATTGCACTGTTTCAATCTTGAAGGATGAACAAATGAACTGGAACCCCCCCACCTAAGCATAGATTGAAGGAAATCTCCATATATTTTTGGAGATTCAATCATTTTATTTTATTTTCTACCCATCTGCTGCTAATTTTGCATGAGTGTATATAACATAATGTACTGTAGTATTCGTTCTTTATTTCTGGTTTTCCTTGTGTGTAGTACATTGAAACTCCATATGTATATGTATACTTGTTCATGGACTTGTACAAAACTTCTATGCAAGAGCAGCCTCCTTCAATTTCTCAGCATTCTTCTCTCTTATAAACCCGATGTAAAGTCGCTGTCCGATATTTTCCGACCTCCTCCGGACATGTTTTTCACAAACTCCACCAAGTGCCTCCAATTGTTCCCTTCGAACAACTTTTTGTTCATTCTTAAATACGTGAAAGCACTCAATCCGTTGCCCGATTCCGATCTACTAGTCGCCAAAACTTGCGCATATCCACTGCTGTCGTACCTTTCCAATACATTTTCTCCTGAAAGTTCGATTCGGGCAGTCTTCGTTGCCATCTTCACTTGCCGGACCAACCCTTCGGGCGAACAGTTTGCATGCTGGGGTTGATCCCCATCTCTCATTTCCGTGCAGGAGAAATTGAAAACAACTCCATGTTTGCTCAACATTCGAGCTATGGAGAGGTAACCGTCCCGATGCCGAGTATTATAGTACCCCGCCGTTAGTTCAGCAGCATGGGACCTTGTATTGTAATGCCAGTGAATTCCAGCAATCTTGGCCGACAGTTTAGCTCCGGTTCCATGGAATGTTCCTTTTGCTGCAGAAAGTAGTTTATCTCCATGATCTAGTAGTATCCCGGAGTACCACTCGAGGAAGAACCGTCCGTACTCGGTGTTCCATGTTCAGTCGTTTCGGAGAAACCCAGTTTCTTCGGGAAATTGCTTGTAATGGTCTGAATCATGTGGTCCACTTCTCCCCCAGTCTTGATTCCCCATGGCTGCTGCTGCTGCTGCTGCTTCTGCTTCTGCTTCAAGTGAAGATCTCATGTACTATTTAAACAGTTTTAAAACAACAATATTCTTAGTTTGATCACTCAAGTTCAGTTTATTCTATATACTGCTAAAGTTACCTTGTCATAGCACTGGAATTCTCCAATTCCAAGAAATTTCCACGTCCCATTTCTTTTGGATAAGATGGGTATCTCAGTTCCCCACAAGGCCCCATTCCCACTTGAATTTCCTGTAATAAACTTTGCATTTAAGTCCCTACAAGTTTCCAAATATATGAAAAAAGTACATAAAACATGACATTGATGTTTGTTATACCACTGGTCCACATTTGGTTGGATTTTAGACACTAATCTTAATCAATGTGTGGAAATGATGCTGACAACTTTGTTTAGTTCCTTTTCTTATCAAATTCCCTTTTTCTTTCTCTGTTTTGAATCAGAGGATTACGGATATAACGGATGTTTAGCTTACCGCGATAACTCGTCCCAAGTAATATCTAAACCTCTTACGGAAGCTCCTCATGTAATCTGTGTAAGCTTGAATCGGTGTTATTCCTCGGAGAACCGGTACGGAATCACATCCCAGAGAAATGTACTCCGGATTCCTCCGTGCGGACCAGTTGGTGTAGACGAGGTCCGGGTTCTTGCTGATTTCTTCGAGCACCCACGGCGGTAGTGGAATGCTAAAGCATGCAAACGCAACAAAACAACATCAATTTATGTTCCTAAAACCATAATCTAACTATCTTTGACGGTCGAAGAGATGACTGCAAGAGTCTCCGACATTGCCACCACACTGAAGAAACGACATGACAACTTGGAGCTTTAGGCCATGTTGTTCGACCATTCGGACAAGCTCGGCATACCCTTCCCAGTTGTACTTCAAAGGTCCATCTTTCTCCACCAAACCCCACCAGGCGTCCAGCATGACACCTTCGAAGTGACCCCCGTGAGTCACCGTGTCGAGCGGTAACATGATGTAAACGGGGACCTTCGAGTCGTTTCCGGTGTGGGGAACCGGTGAACCGTGTAGTTTCTCCTCCGAGTTCGAGGTTTTAGCCTGAGAAACTTGTTGCATCGACATTGACTGCTTGGCTCGGAGACGGCACGATGGCTTTATTGGAGCGAAGCAAATGGTGGTGCCTAGGAAATCATCGGGAGATTTGAAGGTTTTGGGTTCTTTTGGATTGATGAAGGAAGTAGAAGAACGTAATGTTAATGCCATGGTTTTGCAGTTTAGAGAAATGGAGATGATGTCGGAATCAATTGAAGATGGCTTTGCTTTCATTTATAAAGAAAATATTGGTTAAGTTTTTGAAGGTGACGTAACTAGTAATTTTTGATTTTGTGTTTAACTAAATCATTAGACTGTTAAATTTAAAATAACTTGATAGTTATGTATATATATTATCTTCTTTATTTAAATAATGTTTTTTCATTTAATTTCAATTATCTTAAAAAGTTATCATTTTACGTGTCTTTTATTAATGTTATTGATTATACACAATGATGAATTCACCTTATTATCATGTATTATTTTATCAGTTTAAATTCTTTTAAAACCTCTTTGAAATTTTTAAAATGTTATCATTTTATGTGTTATTTTCGGTATTACATGTTTCATGTTTAATCAATTACTTCCATGTATTTCTTGCACGGTAGATAGGATTTATGGTTTTCCATGTCATTTACGCGTTGCCTTATTTCCCCCATACTAATCCGAAATATGTTCGGATTCATTCGATTGGTTCGGTTAAAATATTTAATTATTAAGATAGTGAGATTATTAATATAAAATTTAAACTATATGATATTTTCAATGATTTATATTATATTATTAAAAGGATAATTATATGATTGAATCGATTACGTAGAACTTGCAGCCAACCTAAAGCTAGTAATCATGGCGGATAAGTATGGTGGAAAACATTACACTCTGAAAATTGATGGGTAAATTATACGTTTAGTACTTAAATTATTACTTTTATTTTTTTAGCACCTAAACTTTATTACTTTTTAAATCATACCTAACATTTGATTTAGGTTTCAATTTTGTATCCTACCGTTAAAAACTTAACGGCAACCATGACCTTAAGTTATTTTCCCTTTTTTGATAATCCATGTGTCTTGTAATGTAAATTCCACTTCATCGGTGCCGTTAAGTTTTGAATGATGGATACTAAATTAAAACCTAAACTAACCGCTAGACATAATTCAAAAAAAATAAAGTTTAGATATTAGAATGAAACAAAAGTAATAATTTAGATATTAAATATGTAATTTACTGAAAAATATTTATGATAAGAATAAAGTTGCTGTCCAAGGAAACAAGCTTTGAGGTTCTCAAACTATATAATACCAATATTGATCTTAATTCAACATCAAAACATTTGAACTTTAGTATGCCTTTCTTTGATTAAACGAAGAGTGAATTATTTATTTGGTCATTCATCTATTCCCACATTTTTTATTTTGATAATCTATTTAATTTTTTTTAAAATCATATCTAACGTGTTACTTTCGTTTTTATTCTGATCACAAGCTATTAGGTTTGACTGTTGACTTAACGAAAATGATGGTATAACATAATATAATAACAATTTTAGTTCCCAAAACTTACACATTCTATTAAATTATTTCAATTTATAACGGATTCATTGAATTATTTTGAATTAGTATCATTTTGATAGAATATATAAGTTTTAGGGAGTAAATTTTTATTATATTATAACACATCATCATCATTTCCATTAAGTCAACAATAAAAAATTGACTAAAACAATCAACAATCGATTGATGCAGTGGGATGAAGCACTTGATTCCTTAAGCAATGTCAGGAGTTCAAACCCTGTGTTTTTGAATAGAGCAAATTGTGTTGGGAGGGTCACCCTTACCTTTGCAGTACTCAATCTGGATTAGTTGGTCAATAGATCGGATACCAGTGATTAATTAAAAAAATTGACAAACACAATAGCGTAGCATAACGTTAGATATGATTTTTAAAAATAATTAAATAATCATATATATATATATATAAGTGGTGACTAAATAGGTAACTTACCCTTAAATGAAATAGAATGAACATTTTCATTGGCAAATATATGATTCAAGCTTGAAAACATGTTTTCCTTTTAACATTTGATAATGGTTGCTTAGGACACTTTTCCTTTACCGTTCACTTGTTTTAGCATATGATTTACATTTAAACTTATCCATTGGGCCTTAAGCCCAGACCTTAACAAAGGCCTAATTATAAACCTATTAAGTCTCATTTCTCATTAAAAATAAATTAAATTTCATCCATGATATTGTACAGTTCAAATTAAATATATATATATATATATTTGGATATTTAGCCCTCAAATTTTGTTATTTTCCCTTCTCCCTCCCCTCTTCTTTCCTTCATGGATCTTCCCATTTATATCGTTTGTTTCTTCAACCATTTGAATATGATTACAAGGTGATTGATCTCAGGCAGCTACCGCAGTGCCTGTACGCAAAGCTTTTAGCGTTGCAGAAAGCTTTAATCTCTTCTCATTAACTTCATCAATCACCATCTGTTTGTATCTGCATTCTTCACTACAAAAAGGCGTGTCCCCTCTGCACATTCAAAAGAAAAAAAAACATCTCGAAGAAGACGATACCTTTATACTATCCGAACGATAAGCACTAACAAGACACGTAAAACACGACACGAACCTGTACATGAAGATGTCTGTGTTACCCCTGAGAGACTTCTTGCAAAGGAAACAAGCTTCCAAGAAATGGGGTTGTTGACGTTCTTCAAATCCGCCATGATCGTACGACCTTGAAGAAACCGAAGAAGACAGATTCTTGGGGCTTATATGATCATCACTGCTATTCCTTGTGTAACAAAGAAATCTGAAGAAAAACCCATTTCGCCGCTTATGGTTTCGGCAACGGCTGCTGCCTGAACATCCAGCTTCCATGGTTATGGTGATCGAAGGAAACGAGGGAGGAACAGAAAATTACAAGATGAGAGGGGGGGGGGGTGAAGAAGAAACCAGATGGCTAGTTTTTTAATAGGGAAATGATTCGTGCTTTGGTGACTAAAATTAACTGTGTTTGATTTAATTTGGTGAATATTGTTAATATTAAATGAAAAATTATTGTAATATAGAACTATATATAAAACTTAACCTTATCTATAATCTATAATTATATATAAACCCTATTTTATGCTTAATTGAAGATGAGGACAACTATCTTTTTAATTAAAGATTTTAAAAAGATTTATTATGGTATTTTAAGAAGATGGTTAATGAGAAAATTAGTAAATATAGAGAGAGTTATATTACATTTGAATTTTTATTTCAATATGTCCTAAATCCATGTACTATTCAAACATAGGAACTATGGTTAATGTGATATTTTAATTTGTGGAATTTAATTATTCTATAATCCTATTTACCATTCCAAAAGTAAAATGATAAAAGATAACTAAAATCAACGGATTTATCAAATAAAGAATGTTTATATATTAATTAAATAAAATAAATAAAAAAGAGATGAAGAAACAATGTCACTGCCCAAGTGACCATGTACACTACCTCCAAGAGGGAGAACCAAGTAGAAGTAAAATTAAGAAAAAGGGTAAAATGTCCGGTTCTTGAGTAAAACAACCAAATATTAGACAAAAAAATATTGAGGGGACTGTAAATTCTTACTCGGTTACTCCATTATTTTACTTGGAAGGTTATTTTTTTTTCAAGAAAGAAAAACCTCGACGCTAGAATGTCTGACAGTGAGGCAAATCGGGCAGGTTTGAGCCAGTCGGTCACATGCCGTACATAAGCAAAGATGTCGACATGGCAGCAACACCACCGCCGCAACGCGCGTCCTACACGCCTTGCACGACGGGCCCGAAGCGGCCACCCGTTCCGGGTCTACATAAGCTGACTCGGCGTCCTCCGCCTGGGACTCCAATCCTCCGCCGACGCACTTTCGTCCTTCCTCTCCTCTCATGCTATCCTGCCCTGCAGCTCCTCCGCCGCTCTTTATAGCTTGTTGAAGCTGCGCTTGTAAGGAAGCCGCCGTCGCCTCCTGTGTCCTGGCTTTCTTCTGCCAAACCTGTGCCTCCAAGCTAAGCTGAACCGCCCGTGTCTCTAATTCGACGTTCCGCCGCTTTGCTTTCTCCACTTCAGCTTCCTTCTCTCTTAAACTCCTCACCGCCGATTCCTCCGCCGCCTCCAGTAGTGCACAGTAGTGTCTCTGCCTTTTCTCTGCTAAAGTACGTCGCAATTCTTCCCCCTAACAAAAACAATAACAAAATATTACAACTTCACATTTCCCCTAATAAAAAATTGACCAAAACCCAATTTGAGAGAGAATCAGTACCTGGGATTGAAGAAAATAGTCCAATTCATCTCTCTGGCGTTTGATTTGGGTAACCAAATCATCAGATACCATAGGCAAAAAAGCAGAGTAATCCAAGACAAAATTTTGTTGTTGCCGATAGCTTTGATTATGATTTTTCTGTAATTTTTGTTGTCGGTCGTCAAAAGATAAACGGAGGCCGGTGGAGACTATATTCGGCTGGGGGAGCTGAGAAATGTCGATCAACTGAGTCGGCTGCGTCTGCAAAGAATACGAATTCATCGGCGTCGTTGTTATATCCGCCACCTCAACTTCTCTCCCTCTTTTCCGTGGATTATTATAATCGGAATTGTTGTTGAAAAGCATATGGGATTGATCAAGAAAAACCCCCCCTGCTTGTTGCTGGAATGGAAACTCATTCTCCTCCCGTCCATTTCTGTAAATATAAGAACACTGATTAGCTCAGAAACGATAACCCAAACAAAGAAAGAGACATAAATGACCAAGATGGAACCTGTTTAAAAGGGCATTTGAAGGGTACTGAGTTTGAACGGCCATTATATTAAATGAGCAGTTTGGAGACGATGGTGAAGATTCAATCAAGAACGAACAACGATGATAATAAGCACAAGAACACTTCTTGCTTCTCATTTCTTCATTTTTTGTGGTTTTTGGCTCTGGCTCGTCGTTTGCTTGTATTTATTTCTTAGTTTTCATATATAGGTTGAACAACGGGGAACGAGAGGAATACAAGATGCTAATCGGAAAGAATCAGAGTTAAATAAGTATTTAAATATCATGATTAATTAGATTAAATTTTGTTTTTTATAATTTAAAATAAATATTTTAAATCAGATGTGTGCGGAGAAAAATCAAATCTCTCTTCATTTTGTACATATTTAAAAAAAATTATCTTATATATAAATTTATATATTCTATTTAAAATTTAAAATTTTAAGGTTTTAGGATTGTAAGTTGTAAATTTTTTTTAAAACAAACCCAGACGTGAAATCATCCAAAGTTACAGCAAGATTTGAGGTAATCTGGCGTGGACTACAATAACTAATTAATTAATCGAAGCATCTTCTCAGGTAGAGTGAAAAATATTCTAGATTAATGGGAAATTTGAATACATAATGTTTTGATAAAAACAATCAATTGTTTGCCCGAGTCAACACAGAAACAGCCGATCGAGAAACAACAAAAACAAGGGTAGTCCACACGTTTTAGGATCAAATTTTACTCTCTCTCTCTTTTCAATTTTACAGAGGTAAAAAGCAATAAATATTATTTTGCATGGGATTGGGGCATAAACAAGGTCACGAGATTCCAGAATTCATATACAACGATAAAAAGTTAACCACAATAACAAAGTGATCAACCCCGAAGCTTCCCTAATTGCCATCTCTTTGTTATTTGAGAACCACTTTATATTGCTTTAGATTTTATTATGACTATATTATTTAATTGTACATTATATCTACTCTTAAATTGGGTGATCGAGATCAAAATGAACCAAAATTTTAATTTGCTTCATCACATATTTAGATGGGCCGAAAAATCTTAAATACAAATTGGAATTTAAATTACGATGTGATAAATAATATAAATAGAATGGAAGAAATTGTCTCGTAATATTTTTTTGATAATTTTTTTTATATTAGTCATCTATAAATTGAATCAGATCATTATATCAAAATTATGTATTATCACATTTTTCATATATCTTAAAGAATACGATATTATCATACTAACTCTATTTTTTATTTTAATTTTTTTATTGATAATAAATAAAATACTATCTTTAAAATAAACCTTGGGGTGTTTATTCTATACATGGTTAAATGCATTATTTCCATGCCATCAAATTATTAACATTGGTGATTAAATGGGAAATAATTGCACTTTATTCAAACAATAAATATATCCCTTTTGTGGTGGGAGATGAAAAGCAAGGAATAAGTGGTAGATTAGCCTATAAGATCTGTTACAATATACTATATTATCTTATTGTTCATGTGTATTTTATGAACGAACAAATGAGGTGGGGTAAAAGATATTGGAAACGAAACAAAAGGACTTTTGAACAAATGAGTGGGGGCTTTGACCTTTCATATTCATTGTGGGCACATTTCCATTTAATCATTTTTATTGTTTGATTCCATTTTTTTAAATAAATTGTTTTTATTTTCTTGATTATATTAAAGGCCAAGGTAAATGGTATTTGGTGGATTCTATTTTATAAACTACTCTACATATTATTTTTCTCTAGTTTCTGCTTCTATGCACTGAACAAAAGTAAAACTTTTATTTTGTTATTAGTCTATGTATTATGTATAATTTATGAATTTAGTCTTTGAATTCTAATTTCATCATTTTTAATTTCCGTACTTTTCAAGTTTTGAAATTTCGGTCTTAACTCCAACTGCAAAATTCATTAGGTCAAATTCAGTTACTAGTCCCAATACTACGTGTTAGTTGTAGATTTTGTTTTCATTTCTTAATTTGATCATTTTTAGTCTTTGTCTCATTTAGAACGTGTCTGAAATTTCAAAATTCAAAAAGCGCACGAACTGAAATTAATCAAATTAGAGTATGAGAACTAAAATCATAACGTACACATGATACAAAGATCAGTAACAAAATTTAGCCTGAACTAAAAAATTGAGAGGAAATTCGAGTAAATATATTATTTTATTCTTGAATTATGAAAATAATATATCTCGTTGAGATGAAAAAGTGAGAGCATATCTTCAGTCCGATCTTGTTTCTTTTTCTTTACTTTGATTCATCGTGTTGTGTTGCACTTTCTTTTTTGATTGTTCCCAATAATTTTAGCTTGATATGAAAAAGGTTTATACTTATATCGCTCGTGACATTTTCGAAATGGGACAAGTTCTACTACAGTGACATGTTTGATTTAGGTAATTTTCTTTGATTTATTTTAGAAAAAAAAACGGTATACATGTGTTTTTATGAGACTTAAACATGAATTCTCCAAGTTGAAGTCTTAATAGGAATAGAAAGCAATGTCAAGTGGGGTAATTTCTATACCTATAGCTAGATGTGATCCTCCTATTATCTTCATAGATGATGGGCAAACTTGATTTATTTTTACTATAATCTTGAAGTTATGATAAAAATGTAATAATCATTTTGTAATAATTCGATAACTCTGATTATCATTTTATAACTTTTACATGTTTAATGGCCAAGGTGATAATTTGAACATAATTTAGCAATCTCTAGCATAATTTACCCAAAGATTAGTTGTTTTTTAATGGTTAATTGAATTAATTTGCTTTCATGTCCCACTAAAAACCCTTTTCTTGCTTTATTGTATAGCAAAGGTGGGCAGTGGCAGACATTGAAAACTTGGTTTCAATGTTAAGAAACTGTTTAATTTGTGAGAGAAACATGCACTAATTGACATCTAATACTCCCTTTGGTGCTTAAATATTGATAATTAATATTTGTGGTTAATCCTCTTTCTTATGTTATGTTTTGATACATGACTCGTCAATATCTGATAATCATTTAAAATCCAAATACATGTAATTCTAAGTCTGATTAAATCTTTTATTATATTTTTTTGATATTTTTATTTGACCGTAAATAGATATTTCTGTTTTGATGTCATTAATTAAAGAAACTAATTTCTAAAATTGATAATCAAAACCATAAATTCTTTATTAGTTTTAGGTTTTGATTTTGGGTTTGAATTTGATTAAAGTTGGGATAATCCCTTTAGAGAACACGTTCAAATACGCCATTTGAACCGACAAGTACATTCACCGGCCTCGATTGACTAAAAATATAATCTACAAACTCCAAATTGAGCTGTCTCAATGAAGCATTAGTCTAGGGGAATATATACTTTGATTAAATGGCATACATGGTAAGGACACTTATCTTGAATATTATTGTTGATTTTCTTTGGCTTATCTCATCGTGTTTGCCTAACCAAAAACTTATTTATTTACATTTCTATTAGGTCGCTTTCATTATATAAGAAAGATGGGAAAGGGTTGATGGTTTGAGTTTGCCATTAAATTCCAACTATATTTAATCATATCAGACCAAGAAATGGGATACGTTTGGTTGGCTCAACATACACGTTTTTGGGCACAAATAATTCAATCAATGGATGATTGTTTGACTCCAATTATATGTATTTGTTCATACTTTATTTGCAGTTTTAATATATGATATTGTATACGTTTAGGGTTTTATCTCTAATTCTACAGAGAACTTTATATGACTCACACAGTAAAAATATCTCACTATTTATGATAAACGATATTTCATAGATTTCTTCTGAAAAAAATTGTTAAAATTTTTGACGAAACATATCAAATATGATGTATATATATATATATGTGTGTGTGTGTGTGTCTATTTTGTGCTTTGCTATAATGGGAATAATGTATTAATGTTGATGGCCATGCGGTCCTTTGGGAGTTTTGGCATTGAAATGGCATCAATCAATGCTCTAATAGTACACAATTATAGAGAATCCATGATTCTTGCCTTCACATACACATGTGAAACTTTTCAAAAAGGCAAATGAATCCATGTATATTTAGAAAGAGGGAAAAAAAATATAAATCCAACCAAACACCACCAGACATTGATGCTTTCTTGTTTTTATCTCAGTACTTATTTTAAAAATTAATTTTAAGATGTTTTCACTTTATTCATCATATGATATGTTGATCAACAAAAAATTTGGTAACTCGAACAAAGATATTTTAATGAAATTTTAAGTTCATTGCTTTGAGCCTCCATGTTAAGTGAAACAGAAGGATGGGCTTATTTGGACTAGGAATAGTCGAGATTCAATGTTTTCAATAATGTGGGCTTAGACCATGGCCTTATCTAAATAGGTTTCGGGTTATCCATAGACACTCAAGAAAATTAACATTGTATTTTATTTAATTTTGGCTGAATTTTAATTCGATTGATATTATTTTTTAAGTAGTTCGGTTCAATCGGTTAATATATAATACCTATATATATAATATTTTTTTAGGAAAAGAGAAACAAATAATATAATGATTTTAAATATTCAAAAGGAATATATCTTCGTATTTTAAAATGAAAATTAATCTGTTTAGCACATATCAAAGAAGATAAGTGGGTAACTAGTGAAAGCAGCCTAGTTAATGATAGGTTTGTTGAATTTTTTTTTTGAGAAAATAAATTTATTGAATATTAAACTTGAAGCTACCCACTAAGTATACAGTGAAGGAGTCATAATTGAAGTAGAGAATCCATGTGTAGTAGAAGATATAATTATATTTTTAAGGTTGGGTTGTTTCCAAGTTGCATATGTGTCGACAAATGTTGTCTCCCACACAATTGACTCACAAATTATATACATTTGATGTCATATTTATGTTCAACCTGTTATCATTATTTGCTTCATGTTATAATTATTTAACGACGTCTATCACTTTTTTTACTTTAGTTGGGCACATGATATTGATAAAACCCTTACGTAGTAATTTATATTTGTGAACTCATTTGTTTTATTATAAATAGTTTGTAAAACTGTTTAGTTTTGCAGAACT